CGCTGCCACCTGCATCGCAGTGACTCGAGCACACCGTGCAAACTATGAGGGTGCTTCTTAAATAAACAAGCCGCACTTAATTAATTTGCAGGACCAAAAGGTGCCTTGTAAGAAAAGCCACTGCAATGCAGTTTAAAAAAAGACGCGTGATTCAGAGCGACGCAGAAGGTAATTCAGGATACAGGTACAGGCACGCCAGAACCAGGGCATCCTCTAAGCTCACAGCTGTCCCCTCTGCTGTCAGAGAGGTGGAAACCAGGCAGAGGCTGAGGACGCCCGCCTGCTCCACGCACCCCACGGGCTCCGGGCTGGCGGCCTTTCTCCTGCCCCTCATTGGGGGGGCCCAGCACCACCTGGACGCAACAGGCAGGAATACAAACTGCGGAGCGCTGGGAAAAGTCACTCGCTCCACTGAAGTCCCCAGGCCCTGCTACTGACTTCACCGGGCATGTTAGTAGCTGAAAACAAATTTATTGCTTTTATCCTTTCTTCCCCCCCCCCCCGGACCGTTTGCTCTCTCCTCAGAAGCAGATGAAAACCACTTATATATAAAACCACCTTGCTGCTTAGCTTTCCAGCGTGTTGCTTTTACAGCTGCGTAATGCACGTGTTAAAGACCATATACAGCAGACCCAGATAAATTCACAGTATTACATTTGTGTTATACGTGACCTCAGATTCTGACTTGGTCTGCTTTACAGGTTTCATTGTGCCATGGTTTTGCATTTAGCAACGTAACACTCAAGCCTCTTTTAAAAGATCTTTTCTATACCCACGCAGCAAGCTTTGAACACCTTACTCTTATAGAAAAGCTTGTACCTGACACTCCCATAGCCATCTTCAAGCACCTGATAACTTAAACTTTACTCTGGGCCAAATTCTTCCAGGGTTGACAGAACCCAGTCCAAGCTGAATGATTTAAGCCCACGTACTGGGGCAGCTGGTGCCAAAACTAATGGCTCGAAAGGGTTTTTTTTCCTCTTTAAATTAAAGCAGGGGACAATTTTGAACCTAATCACAATTCTCGAGCCACTGTATGTTACATGCTTATCGTGGTGAGGAGCAGATGAAGTCAAACAGAAACATAAACTATTCCACGCTCAATTTAGCTGCAGAAAAAATGGCAAGATGGGGGCTGGCAGGTGGGGATTTTCCCCC